GCAACGGGTTCGCACCCCTCGGCGTCGCTCCCGCGCCTCGCTCAGCCAGTGAGCGGGAACCAGTCTGTATGTGGGACCCGAACCCTCGGCGGGAGCACTGCAGCGCTTCCCAAGTGGCGCACTATAGCAGTGCACCACCGGGCCGGCCCAATGAAACCTATTTCTATATGTAAGAGTTTTTTATTAAACATCTTGACACTTCTACCCAACAAATCCAGGGGCATAATCTCAAGCAGGTCAAATTTAGAGAAGAATTCATCATGAAACTGAGAATCTGGATATTCTAGCTTGAAGATGATGGAGCATAACTTTCACTTGGCATTTAACACCTTAATTTTTAAGTATCTTTTTGTCTATATATTGTCTTATCTCACTAGATGGGTGCATCTTGGGTCTTTCTTAGTTGATGGAGCATAACTTTCACTTGGCATTTAACACCTTAATTTTTAAGTATCTTTTTGTCTATGTATTGTCTTATCTCACTAGATGGGTGCATCTTGGGTCTTTCTTAGCAGAGACCCTGGTACACAGTAAGTGGCTTATTGAATCATTTTCTCATTCATTCATGCAGCATAGATTTCTTTAGCATTTATGTGTAAGGTACTTGCTAGGCTCTGGGGATATAATGATGGGTGGGTGGATGACTCAATAAATTCCTGCTGATAATTGATTGATAATCATTAGCTACATTTCAGAAAGAGTGTGATTTTCCTTTCTTCTGAATTCCAAGTACAGGCACACTACAAGTCTTATTAACCCTGTTGTAAAAATGGGGACACCAAGACACAGAGAATAATTAACTGACTTGCTTAAGGTCACAAACTTGGTCATGAGTGGAATGAGGATTAAGACCCTTACGGGTTCTTTTCTGGACTGAGGTGCTAGGGGAATTCATTCAGATTGACTGGGGCTCATATTTCATTTAAATGCTCTCATTTCACTTCTGGTACATCCACCTTCTCTGACTCATATTTCAGGATCAGCAGTCTGAATTGGTTTCCTTCCACTTCAGACACTGTCAAGATAAATTAAACGCTGAGGGTCCATGACAATATCTGAAGTAGAATTACTATTAGTAGAAAATATATAAGCAGTTTTATATTTCAATATAGTGTAGCATTCTTTCAGAAAACCCACCTTTTACTAAAAATGAAAGGGGGAATAATAAACCTGGGTGAATTCAGAAACGTATGAGAGAAAATAAATTAAAATTTTATTTTACATCCTCAGGCAAGTGTAGCCAAAGGAAGGTAGGTGACAGTAAATATTTTTTTTTATCTCCTTTCAATGCATTTACAAACCATTCTGCTGAATAAGATCTGACAGGTTCCTGACTGTGAACAGAGATAGGGTAACAACTCTGATGATACATAAACTTGCATCAGATACAGACTCCATTTCTGCTGTAATCATCCATCCATAGCCTAACCCGCTCAGCTGACAAGGCATGTTATTAATAAAGTGTACTGTACTACAAGTGCATTGCCCTACATGGTGTTTATCTTGTTGGAAACTGTAATTGTCTGAAACAATGGCCTCAGTGAAAAGGTGTGATATGTTATGAGTTGTGTAAAGATCAAAATAATTTATACTAATAACGGTAGTTGTTTGTGAAGGATTAAAACGTGCATTATGCTGCACATAGTTAATGACTTAGTCTTGTTTTTAAGTTTTATTTCTATTCTAGTCCCTGTGAGATAATCTTGAATTTCAAGCCTAACCTTGTAGATAAAGTTCCCCCACCAGGATGTAAGCTTCACTTTGGCTTATATACCAGTCTCCCTAGCACATAGCACAGTGCTTGGAAAGGAGTCAACATTTAATACCTGTTAAGTGAAAAAAATGAATGAATATGAGTATAGGAAAAAATGGAACACATTTCAGGTTCAAGCCAAGCCATTATCAGAGTTCCTCCAGGATGTGACTCAGAAAAATAGCGTGTTTCTCACTCTCCATGGGATTGGGACTGGTGGAGAGGGAGAGCATGAAATGGAAGCAGTCCCCAGCCAACTGGCTGAGGATACCACGTGGCAGCCCGCATTGCTGAGCTGGACAGAGAAGCCCCAGGTACAGACCTGACGTAGGAAAGGATGAAGCATGCCCTTGGTCCTCTTTCCTCACTCCCTCCCCAATCCCACTCAATAGGATCTGTACGTGTTCTTGCATCTTTCAATCTAGAGTCTGGAACAATAAAAGGAGTGTCAGCTCTCCTCTGATTCTCACTAATGGAGTGCCAGGTAAAACAGCCTGCATGTGATTTAGGAACCACTGTGAGGGTCTAGGAAAAGAGCAAGGTCATACACAGATGGAGGCCCGGGTCTTCAAATGGAGCTGGCTTACCTCTCCACTGAGAGAGTAAAGAAAGAACACAGAGGAAGATAGAACAATATAGGGATGATGAAGGAGAGTAGATACAGAAACATTTTGAGGTAGAGGAAAGGAAAATTGAAGGAGACTGTTGGGGCCTAAGCCACAGCCAATTTTCCTTTTTTTTTGGCAAAATTTGATGTTGTTTGGATTGCACCCTCCCATGTGCTTACAAAGGGTGATTTCTCTTCCCAGCATGAGGAGTAGGTAAATTATGATTAGTGTCATTCCTCTTAAAGTAATCAGTTTAGGATAAGTGTGTGACACAATTATGCCCAATGGGACACAATTCTGCTAGAGACCTCTAGAAAGGGTTTCCCTTCCTTTATTACGAGAGAGAGAAAGATGGGAGACAGCATCCTTCTTATTTGCTGGATGCCCCTGACTGCATTTGACGCCAAGAAATGCTGAAGCCATTGTGCACCCATGAAGAGAAATGACAGGAGAGAGTACCATCATCTGAGGACGGCACAGCAGAAAGAAGAAATCCATTTGGGTCCTGGACAACATTCTTGAGTTACTCAATTAACCAATACTAGGACCACCTACCTCCAAACCACTTTATAATGTATCTTATTTTTCAAAAGCCGCCTCTCCTCAGGTTTTCTGTTGCTTGCACTTTTGTTGGTATCTTCCTTAATCTTTTCTACTAAAGTAGGAGGTAATAGTGTGTGTTATGAATGTGAAAGGTGAGGTTTAAAAGTCTGAAACAGATATTTCATTTTTCACTTTACCCTCCTTCCATATTCTTCCCCTCCCCAACTCCTTCTGGACTCAGGCAAGGGCCAGGAGACTCAGAACTGGATACAAAAGGACCTCTTCCTTCCCGAGACTTAGTCTTTGTTTCTGGCCCAATCCCAGTGTTTGGTTCCTTCTTCCCTAAGGACTTGTCCTGTCCAGTGGCTTCTCAGTCACTCCAGTACACAGGCTTCTGGGACCTTGCCCCATCAGTTCCACACACGTCTGAATCCCAGTCACAGCTTAGGCTCAAGTGGGGAGCTCCAACCGCAGCACTATTCTGTACCTGTTTCTAGCAATGCTTTGTGACCATTAAGCAGAAATACAGACTGAAATTGACCAGAATTTAGAGATGAGAACTGGCACAGACGTGGGATAAGGTCTGAGAATGCAGGAGTTAGCTGGGTTTAAGATTGTAACTCCTACGAAGACCACGTAGCTCCCAGCACAGAATTCTGCATATAGTTAGTATCAACATATGTGTATTGAAATTAATTGAAACAAGCAGATTGTAGGCAGAAGGCCAAATGGCTTCCTTTTACAGAACCTTCCTTTCAGAGAGTGCTTTTCAATTGCACCACCTTCCTCCCCAAAACAGAACCTTCAATATTTTCACCTCAATATCTAAGTTTGTTTTTGTAACACATTTTGAGATAGGGAGTGGTAAGAATAGTTTTATTTAATTTGCCAGGCAGAAACATGACACAAAGAGATGATCTGACTTGGCCACAATCCCAGAGGGCATCCATGGCAAAGCTGGGATGGTCCCTAAGTCCCCAGGGCTCTGAAGTCTTTGTTCTGATGTCCCTGTATGTAATTGTTTTGATAGCGATTTCCCTGGTTCTCTGTCACTGGCCTGCTAATCACGCATGCCAATCACATTCAAGAACACCATGGGCCTGAGGGTCAGCCCCAGTCTCAGGAGAATGTAATTCAAAAGAGAAAACAAGGCACAATGTAGCATCTTCTCCTTAAAGCGTGTATGTCGGTTAAGTCTGACGAGCTGTGCGGGAGAGTGCTGCCTTTTTCCTTCCTCCAGATACAGAGAGGAAAGGGTATATCAAGTGCTCTGACCACAGCTTAAATCAAGTGAGAAACCCACGAGTGCAAGATCCTCTCCCTAGACCAACACTCCGGGGTACTGAGAGTTCTCCACCCAACCTCTCAAGAAGCAGGAGGGAAGTCCACTTTTATCCACCTCAGAAATACACCTCCATAGCTTCACCCTACGGTCTAAAAGCCTGGACGGGGGTGGCGCATTCGTGTAAATCTGCCATAGAGGCTGATTCCCCTTCTCCTACGGAACACTGGGACACCTATCTCCATTTCACTTTCACTTTCGAGAGCAGCATCAGGGGCCGAGAAGACAGAGCCCCGTGGCGCTGGAGAAGGCCCGCAGGAAGACCGCGCGGGCGGCGGAGTGCGGCGCGGCCCCCGAGGGTGGCGGGCGCGAAGCCGTCGGTGCGGGGCGTGGGGCCTGGAGTGTGCGTGTGCGTGTGCTCGTCCCTCGAGCACCGCCCACGGAGCCGATTGGCCGGGGGCGCGCGGTGGGGGAAACCCTTGGCTAATCTCCTGCCACTCAGCCCGGCCGCTCTGCGCGCGGAAGGACAAATAGTCCCGGCGGCAGCTCGCGCGCCCCTCTAGAGCTCGGCTCGGCTCGCCCCGCCCGCCCGGGCTGCCGGCCCCTGGGCCCGGGCGGCGGGAAGTGGGGGCGGGCGGAACAGCGCCGGCCTGTGCCGCTCCTCGACCCCCACTCTCCTCTTAGCGGCCGGACTCGTGGACTGCGCTAGCTGAGGAAAAGTAATTGGATTCCGGGCTCCCTCCAGCCGTGGACCAGCGGAAATCGGCAGCCGAGCCTGCAGCTTGGGAGGGGCAGCGGGGAGGCGGGGGGAGGTCGGGGAGCGGCCGCCGGCGAGGGGAACGGTGAAGGCTCCGCTCTGCGCTTGAGCGTGTGCGTGCTGCTGCTGTGCAGGCCGCAGTGGAAAGCCGGGTGGTAGAAAGGATGGACGCGGACTGTCCCGGGGCCCTTTCCGCCTGGCATTTGACTCTTGCCCCTTCAAGAGTATCGTGTTCCCCGTGGAATTCACCTGGGTGCTGATACCAGAGAAGAGAAATGTTTTGGAAGCCTTGAGTCTTTTAGCCATCACCGCTCTGTTTTTCTCTCAAAGCTCCGCTTGGAACTGAGGTGGAGAAAGAACGCTTTCAAATCTGGAATTGGAGATGCCTCTTATTAACGAAGTAACTCAGGAGAAAGTTTTTACCGGAATCATCCAGGAAGCCAAGTCCTTTCTTTGGCAGGAGCAAACTTCCTTAAATTCCCTTTCCCCTGAGGAGATGGATCAGAAGTAAGAGCCTTAAGCAGAGAGCGGGGAGGGGGGGGGAGGTCGGGGAGCGGCCGCCGGCGAGGGGAACGGTGAAGGCTCCGCTCTGCGCTTGAGCGTGTGCGTGCTGCTGCTGTGCAGGCCGCAGTGGAAAGCCGGGTGGTAGAAAGGATGGACGCGGACTGTCCCGGGGCCCTTTCCGCCTGGCATTTGACTCTTGCCCCTTCAAGAGTATCGTGTTCCCCGTGGAATTCACCTGGGTGCTGATACCAGAGAAGAGAAATGTTTTGGAAGCCTTGAGTCTTTTAGCCATCACCGCTCTGTTTTTCTCTCAAAGCTCCGCTTGGAACTGAGGTGGAGAAAGAACGCTTTCAAATCTGGAATTGGAGATGCCTCTTATTAACGAAGTAACTCAGGAGAAAGTTTTTACCGGAATCATCCAGGAAGCCAAGTCCTTTCTTTGGCAGGAGCAAACTTCCTTAAATTCCCTTTCCCCTGAGGAGATGGATCAGAAGTAAGAGCCTTAAGCAGAGTTTTTCAGTGAAATGATAGGAATGTTCAAGGAATTTTAAGTGACTTTAAAGTCAGCCCTCTTTTGATTTTTTTTCTTTTCATCTCATTTACTGCATTTCACTCATTCATTCGTCATTAAACAAGCTTTTACTGAGGACTTTCTGTGCCAGGCTTTGTTCTACTTGTTGGGGATGCGTCAGTGAATAAAACAAAGTCCCTGCACTCATGGAGCCTCTTTACAGTTGCTCCCTGGGCCAGATAAACGGTACATTTACAAACAGATGTACAATGTAATGTATAGTGATAAATGCTATG